CCACCACCACCACCACCACCACCACCACCACCACCACCACCACCACCACCACCACCACCACCACCACCAGCACCACCACTACCATTATCATCATCTAATAGCTAGCATTAATAAAGCGCCTTTTGGTTTGCAAAGCTCTTTACATACAGTAAAGCATTTGATCATCGATAACATTCCAGGGGGCAAGTCCTGGCTCTGCTTCTCATTTCACCATCTGAGGTACAATTTCCCAATCTATAAAACAGGGATAAAAACACAGGCTCAGGTTATCTCTTAAGATTGTTGTTATTCAGTCCGGCTCATCGTGACCCTAAGGACCACGGCACACTAATATTGCCCGGGGGGTTTTCTTGGCAAAGATACTGAAGTGGTTTGCCATTTCCTTCTCAAGTTAATTAAGGTAAACACAGGTTAATTGACAGCCAATAAGTATCTGAGACCTGGATTCGAATTCAGGTCTTCCTAACTCCAGGTTCAGCATTGAGTCATCTAGCTGCCTCTATCTCTTTAAGATACTGGACCTGAAAAATGCTGTCCACATCCAGATAAAGAACTATGGAGTCTGAATGCAGATGAAAGCATACTATCTTCTCTCTTTTTTTCCTTTCTCACGGTTTTTCCCTTTTGTTCTGATTCTTCTTTCACAAGATGACTAATGTGGAAATATGTTTAATATGATTATATATGTAAAACATATTAAATTGCATGCCATCTTTGGGGGAGGAGGGAAAGGAGGGGGAAAAAATCTGGAACTCAAAATCTTGTAAAAGTAAATGCTGACTTTGCATGTAATTGGAAAAAACAAAATACAGTTGGGGGGGGGGCAGGGAGAGACATACTGTCCCTGAATTTCCACAGATTTTATTCTAAAGAAGTGGAATTTGGCTTGGGTACAAACCGTCAATTTGCTCACTAGCCTCGTGACCATGGACAAATGACTTTATTTCTCGGAACTCAGTTTCCTCTTCTGTAAAATAGGGATAATAATGCTTATTCTTCTCACCTCCATCATTGTGAGAGAAAGCACTCTGTAATCTTCCAAATACTTCAGAAATGTGAGCTATTATTATGACTTGTTCTAATAGCTCAACCTCACAGTCTTGTTAAAAAAAAAAAAAAGCTATTCAGTGAGTGGCTCTTAGACGTGACTCATTGTGCTAATCAAAAACCCTTCAGCTTGGACCTGGAGGATTGCATCCCTTGCACTCCCTGGGGAAGGCACCCAAACTTCCTGTGGCTCAGCACTTTTCTCTGTAAGCTATTACAAGTGATGAATCACAGAACTGCATATCAAGAAAGAAAATTCGGTATACCTAACCCATTTTATTGATGGAGAAATTGAGGCACAGAAGAGTGACAGGCCTGGCCCACAGTCACAAAGCTCGTTAGCATTTAGATTTATTTCACCTTACATCCGTTCTCAGCCTGGATGTCTGAGCCAAACTGCACTACCTTCTGTTGCCCCGTTCTCGTCCTGCCCTTTTCCTTCTCTGCCTACTCACTGCTCATCCCTGCAATGGACTCCCATTCACCTCAAAGTACGGGATGACTGAACCAGAGTGAATTCTACAGTCAGAGGATTCAGCCTCTGTCACTTACCACCTGTGTGATCTGGCACAGGTCGGGTTCACTTCTCTGGGTCTCCGTTTCCTCCTCTGCAAAATGAGGGGGCTGATGGTCTGGGGGTTCCTTCCAGCTCTAAATCTATGATCTCCTCCCCTTGAAAGGGAAGGCCCTGCCTACTCCACTGAAGCGCCAATGGTTCAGATCAGGGTAGGGAAACTGCAGCCTCGAAGCCACATGTGGCCTTCGAGGTCCTTGGGAGCGGCCTTTTGACTGAGCCCGGGTTTTACAGAACAAATCCTTTTATCAAGGGGATTTATTCCGTGAAGTTTGGATTCAAAGGGCCGCACTTGAAGACCTAGAGGGCCACACATGGCCTCCAGGCCACAGGCTCCCCACCCCTGGTTCAGGCACACCTGGGCCGTTCAAGAGTATGGCTTACTAACTGGCTGCAAGCAGAGATCCTCAAGTGGTGGGAAGAGCCAGGGTCCAAGTCTGTGAACTTGTCATGTGAGCCACAGCTTCCCGAGCCACAAAAACACGAAGCAGCTCATCTCACGGGGCTACGAGGAGGATCGGACGGGATGATGAGTGTGCTTTGTAAGGCACAAGGCCCTACTGAAACGTCAGCTCTTGTTAATACGGAAACAGCAATACACATCTATTATGTCTGGGGCCTTGGAGGCACACAGTGGAGCCAGTGTCCCTGGGAACCAAAAGGCACTGCAGGAAGGTGAGCACCCCTGTGACCTCAGCAGTTGTGAGAGGCTCCGCTGCTCTTGGACTGCCCACAACTAAGGCTGTTAGGAGATTAAAAATGTCTCAAGGACTTTACAGAGAGCCCAGATATCAACCAATCAATGCACATCTATTAAGTGCCTACTGTGTGCCGGGCATTGTACGCATGAGGGGATACGGGAAACAAGTACAAATACAAGTATACACAGAATGGAAGAGGAGAGAGGAGGGGAAGGGGAGGGAGGTGAGGAGAGGAGAGGGGAGGGGAGGGGAAAGACGATACTGAACAGAAATACAGTGAACAGCAAACAAAGTAGTTAAGCATAAGGTAGATTGGGATGGAGACCGGTATAATTTGGGGCGATGAGGAAAGGCTTCACCCAGAAGCTCTGACTTGAAGAGAGGGGTTCTATAAGGTGGAGGTGAGGAGAGTAGACATCTCAAACATGGGGAACAGCCAGGGAAAAGGCTGAGATGGAAAATGGAGCATCTTGTGTGAGGAACCTAGAAAAGAAGGGCCAGTCGGGCTAGACTGCAGAGAGAATCAGTCAGTCGATAAGCATTTATTAAATATTATGTGTCAGGCGTGAGCCTGTGGATACAAAGAAAAGAAAAAAAAACGTTCCAGAGAGGGAGTAATGGACATGGAGGCTGGAAAGCTAGGCTGGGACTGCTGGGTTGTGCTTCACGAGCTAAGCAGAGGAGTTTTGATCTGATCCACAATATCTGAGTCTCTTCATTCACAGACTAATACTTTCATGTTTATATAGTGCTTTAAGGTCACAGGATTCAGGACTGGAGAGGACTCCACAGGATTTCAGCTAGAAGGAACCTTAGTGATGACCTAATTCAACAACCACATTTTACAGATGAGGAAGCTGAAGTCAAATAAGATAAAATGACTTACCCAAGGTCACACAGTCAATAAGCAATTGAGCCTGTATTCAAACCCAAGTCTTCTTGACTTCAAATCCAGTGGTCCTGACATTCACTACACCACACTGCTGAAGGGAGATTACAGAAACTTCTCCTCACAACTGCCCTATAAGCTAGCGAGTACAAGTATCCATTATCT